GATACTAGCTAATTAAGTAAAAATGATTTGCTTAAAGTCTCAAGTGGACTGTGCTGTGGGGTCCCATGGGCCACATTTAGGTTCTCAGGGAACAATTCTTCTTTGGCCGAATTGTTACCTTTTCATTTTGTTGTAGATATTACTGTATTTGATATTGTTTCATAGCACTTTCAAACACACTTACTATAATCAAAAGACATATTATGACCATTAAGTTTGTGATACAGGTACCTCAGATTTGCATACAACTTTACTTCTAAAGAATGAAGAGATCCAATGATTTGGCTTAGAAGTAATAAAGACTCCTCTGGGTCTTCAGTTTACAAAGATGGGAAAAAGCAAATAGACACAGGAGGGCAGCATAATTCTGTTTGACAGTGAGCTTGGTGCTTTTTTTTTTTATTGACCTCTTACACAGAAACTTCTACTTTGGGATAAGTCATGTATATTCAGTCCAGCTGTAAAATGCTCAGTCCAGCTGTAAAATGCTCTGTTTTAGTGGGCACCCATTCCGTGAATCAGAGCTTGATTTTTTTTTTAATTAATTTATTTTTGGCTGCGTTGGGTCTTCGTTGCTGCTTGCAGGCGTTCTTTAGTTGCGGTGAGTGGGGGCTACTCTTTGTTGTGGTGCACGGGCTTCTCATTGCGGTAGCTTCTCTTCTTGCAGAGCACGGGCTCTAGGCACGCGGGCTCAGTAATTGTGGCTCACGGGCTTAGTTGCTCCGCAGCATATGGAATCTTCCCGGACCAGGGCTCGAACCTGTGTCCCCTGCATTGGCAGGTGGATTCTTAATGACTGCACTACCAGGGAAGCCCCAGAGCTTGATTTTATACTTCATAGTGATGTTTACTAGGCATCAAGCAAGGAAAGAACTCCTGCCTCAGATGATCTGGTTTTGAATTCCTGCTTTGCCATTTGGCATCATGACAAGTGTCTTCAACTCTCAGAGCCTCATTTATCTGTAAAGAAGGAATCAAGTGAGACTACATATGGGGAAGCAAGCTGTCAATTCTGATATGCTCTCTAAATATTAGATATTTCTAGAAGCAGTATCGTTATTAAAATTATTATTTCTCTTAAAGTCTCATTTGTTTCCTTTTTCAGGGAGAAGTTTTTCACTAATGGCATTGACGATGTCCCTGTCTGTGCCGTTAGCCTATTAAGAACACCAAGCTCTTTCAGGCATTTTACTTGGCTTATGAGACTTGCTCAGCCTGTGCACATGTTTATTTATTATTTATAACCTAGGCTTTTGCTGTAACATCCCCTTGGTGTGCTGACATTTTCACACTGGGTGGTATTTTGGATCTTTAGAAAATGACCAAACCAGAGAGATAGAATTGAGAAGCTTCACAACCTTCTGTTTCTCTAAGCCTATTTCAGTTTCTTTTTTATTCCAGTGATTCCAGATCTTTTTTATTCCAGTGATACAGCAGATAACTCACTTCCAATTCTCGGACCTCTCATTTTTATCGTAATTCTTGCTAAATGTAGGAATAGTAAGTAATAGCTATCATTTTGGATGCAGTGACAAGAACTAGCCAAAAAACATATGAAAGGAAAAAGGAAAAGCCCACTGTGTAGAGCATCATACCAGGTGTTTGTTCCCAATAGGAACATATGATCAAAAACACACGATGTTTGTGCAGACCAGCGTAGTGTGGGGAGCACTGCTGAGCTGGTATCACAGATCATTGAATGTATGATGCTAATTAAGTTAAGAATCTCAAGGTGAGATTATCCTGGATTTAGAGTGAGCCCTAAATCCAGTACCTTTTTTTAAATATATGTATACATTTATTTATTTAATTTTTTGCTGTGTTGGTTCTTTGTTGCTGCATGCGGGCTTTCTTTAGTTGCGGCAAGCTAGGGCTACTGTTCGTTACGGTGCGCGGGTTTCTCATTGAGGTGTTTTCTCTTGTTGTGGAGCACAGGCTCTAGGCGGGCTTCAGTAGTTGCAGCATGCGGGCTCAGTAGTTGTGGCTTGCAGGCTGTAGAGCGCAGGCTCAGTAGTTGTGGCACACAGGCTTAGTTGCTCTGTGGCATGTGGGATCTTCCCGGACCAGGGATTGAACCTACGTCCCCTGCATTGACAGGCAGATTCTTAACCACTGCGCCACCAGGGAGGTCCAAAGACGGACAAATCTTTAAGGTAGAGATGACCTCGGTGTGTTTGAGGGACAGCAAGAAGGGCAGGAGGGATGCTATGGAATGACCAAGGAGGAGAGTGATAATAAAGGAAGTAGGAGAGGTGATTAGAGGCCTGACTATACAGAGTCTTAAAGGCTAGGATAAGATGCTTAGATTTTATTCTAATATGATGGCAAGCCTATTGGAAGGTTTAACCACGTGAAAGTCACAATCTGATGTAACCTCACAGTGTGTAGGGAATAGATTTGAGTTCAGGAAGAATGGAAGCAGGGAGACCAGCTAGGAGGTCATGGCAGCAGTCCAGGAGAGAGGAGGGTGGGGGCTTGGACCATGATGGTAACTGTAATAATAGAGAGAAGGGAACAAAATTTAGATTTATTTTGGAGATATAGTCAACAGAACTTGCTAATGGATTGATGTAAGGAGTGAGAGTGGAATCAAGGATAAATCCTAGATTTTTGGTTTGAGTAACTAGTACTGGTTCCTCTGATGGGAAGGTAGAGGAGAGCTGATTTGTGGAAAAAAGTCAAGAGTTCTATTTTGGACCTGTTATTTTGGAGATACTATAAGACACTTAAGGTGAAACTTGAATAGAATTTCAGCAGGATGGGGAGGAAGAAAGGATGTTTTGTAAGAAATAGCATAAGCTGAGGAAGTGCAGAGCAGACGAGGGAAAGACACATCATCAGTCCTTTGTGGCTGGAGCATGTCTGAGAAGGGAAGAAGAGAAAGAAATATGATGAAAAATGTAGAACACATTCTTTTTGCACTTTGATCCTTGTTAGAATCCAAACATTCATATTAAATGGAATAAGTAGGAAGAAATTAATCCATCATATTATTTGATGTAAGGTCAGTTATTTTCTACAGTTGATGCACCAAAATATACCCTCATCAGAATTCTTCAGACAAATAAAATAGGAGTCACAAAACAGTAAAGTTGAGACAGGCTGGGACCTGGGACCCTTTGCTACAATGCCTGCACCTGGACACATCTATCCTCCAGCAACGAAATACAAAGAAACTATATGGGACTAAAAATAACTGCGTGCATGGGCAGTTGGGGCAAATTCTGGACAAAAGATACAAAGAGACCAAAAAACCCACCTGCCACTTCTGAAGAGACTGGAGCAAAAACAGGGTGTCGGGGAGCAAATGCAGGGTCCTGAGCATGCCGCCTGCACTCAATACACCCCACTGGAGGGGTGGGCAAAACACCTAAGCCACCCTCTGGCCTGATCCCTGGACACACCCCTACCCTCACCCCCTTATAAGGAACCAGCTCGTCTGGCGTCTGGGACCGAGCACGCAAGGGAAACATTTGTTTTTGCTCCCACCTGAGGTCGCAGGGACCCCAATAAAGCCTTGCCTGAGTTTCTTATCTGGCCTCTAGTCAATTGCTATTGATTAGGGAAGGCCAGGAACCCTGGTCAGTATCAAAGCTACCTCACTGACTACAGTTAATTTTTTGGTGGTGCTCTGTACAGGGGCCACTCTTGGTCCAAACCACTTGTATAGCACCTGTTTTGTAGAAGGCACCTTCTCCATCATTTAGCTCAGTGATTCTTTTTTTTTTTTTTTTTTTTTTTTTACGGTACACGGGCCTCTCACTGTTGTGGCCTCTCCCGCTGCGGAGCACAGGCTCCGGACGCGCAGGCTCAGCGGCCATGGCTCACGGGCCCAGCCGCTCCGCGGCATGTGGGATCTTCCCGGACCGGGGCACGAACCCGTGTCCCCTGCATCGGCAGGTGGACTCTCAACCACTGCGCCACCAGGGAAGCCCTAGCTCAGTGATTCTTAATCATATTACACCCAAGATGATCTTTTGGTAATGAGTATTTCATACTATCTCTTTTACCATACTGAAATAATATTCACAGTTAATATAACCAATTATATAGGTCACTGCAAAAAATATATAGTATTCCAGCCATAATATAAAGGAGAAATACAAAGGAAAATGATTTAAAATAAAATGACATATATACTAATATGTAGATGTTGAGCAAAATGTAATATTTGGATGTGATATGATTTTCAAAATGCCAAAAGGGTCTTGGTAAATATCCAAACAAAGCAAAGTACAGTTGTTCCTTAATTTACCTGGTACCTGTATTCCTGAAAATTCAGTGTATTTTTAAGTTGTACAAAAAAATGCTTTGTGTTTATATGTAACAGTTAGATTCCAGGCTCAGATAACTATAAAAAGTTTTCTTGCCTGAAAGAATGTCTGGTAGGGTGTTAAAAAGTCGTGCAGGAGTGTCTTGAGCATTGCAGGATACCTTGAACTTTGGTTCCTGCCTGTGAAATTTCTCCACAAATTTCCAAAATGTCCCTGGGTTTGTTACCAGTACTGCTGAGAACCACAGCTCTGGCTGTTCTCTGAGCCATTGGGATGCTGACATTCCTACATCACAGAACACATGGAACCCTAGTCTACACTGTAACCTTTGAGTGAACAGGGCATTGTCTGCCTGTTCTATCCCTAGGACCTGACCCACGGTATGTCCTTACAAAACATTTGTCTCCTTAGAAAACATTTGTCAATGTTGGATGGAAAGAGATGGAAGGAAAGATTTTCCCTTTTGTTCTGTTTTGTGGAGCAACCCTTTAGGTAGTCTTTTTCTCTGCAGTGACTTGGGAAGGCTTTAAAAAATTATGCATGAGACAAAAAGTAGTAGAAGTCGTTGCCTCTTGAATAACAGGTGCTGTGATCAAAATGTCTATTTTTATCTGAGTGCCATCTCTGCCATCACTTGTCTAAGCTGTTATTTTGTTGAACTCAGGGTTGTAGATACATCATTTTCAGAACATAAATCTGCTTATGCCTTTTTTCCTTTGTTTCTAGCGTGGGAAGAGTTGGCCTATTATGAAGAAAACACGAGGGACTTTCTCTTCCCTGTACCCAGGCTGACACCTTCGTACCCTGGGCTGTGTAGGGAGGTGCTCATGAAGACAGTTGAAGGTTTTCCGGTAAGTGATCTGTGCCCAGCTGGGCTTCTGTTGGGAGAGGAATTCTCGAGACCTGAACATTTTATTCCTGACAGAACCAGTTTGTGGGCAGATCACTTCATCTTGGTTAGTGCCCCTGATGTTCTCTTCAGCAGCCCTGATTAGATGCCCCACTCAAAATAATAAATGATACTGATTCCCACTATTGATTTGAGATGTGGGAGTCTTTTTTTTTTTCATTAAATACATTCATTTTGGCTTTCTTCCCACATCGAAATACTCAAAGTAACTGACATTACTGTGGATTGCCCTGGTTCCTGTAGGAGTACCATATTTTAGCACCATTTATAAGAATACAGATCAAGGCATTTTTCATTATATAAAAGGTCTTAAGTACAAAAAAATTATTTTAAAGTTCAAAATTAAGCTCAACCACCCCTGGTTACTGGGGAAAAGATTGCCGAGACTGTGGTTATCTCCAACCCCGTATCCTTTCCTTGGATTACCCATGTTTTGGCGAGTTCACCCCTGTGCCACAACTACACCCAAGAAATCAACAAGAATGAGATAAAGCTGTGGTCAGTGTTCTCCCTCACTATTAATGAGCATTCAAAATATGGAAATATACAGATGGCCATAAAGGCCTGGGAACAGAGATATACGTAATAAATGGCTTGTTGATATGACTTTTCACTACAATTGTCTATTATCTCCAGGCTTAACGACCACTCTGTATAGTTCAATTATACTTACTAACCCATTCCACCATTCCCAGTAATAAATTTCAATTTACCATGAAAAAAAAAAGCAAATGGCACAGCTCACCTTCACCCTCCCAAATGTGGCCAGGTCTCAGGCTGTGGGACCTCACACACTTAAAGACGTCACTTTGTGACTGCAGGCCAGTGAGCAGGCACATTCATACACACGCATACATCCCTTCTGGTCATGGCCAAGCCTACCTTGCTCCTACTGCTACTGCTACCAAGGGTGGGAGCAGCCAAACCAGTTTAGTTTTGTGCTTCTCATGGCTCCAAGTTATTAACTGGATCACACAGGTATTAATCATCAGCTGCCCATGTCTTTTTGTTTTTGGCCTCTCACTGTTGTGGCCTCTCCCATTGCGGAGCACAGGCTCCGGACGCGCAGGCTCAGTGGCCATGGCTCACGGGCCCAGCCGCTCTGCGGCATGTGGGATCTTTCCGGACCGGGGCACAAACCCGTGTCCCCTGCATCGGCAGGCGGACTCTCAACCACTGTGCCACCAGGGAAGCCCCTGCCCATGTCTTAATTCACTGCCTAACTCAGCACTGGCTCCCTGATCTCTCCAGCCACTCAGAAGAGATCACCAAGGTTTTCCGAAAGAGTTAAGCATTACATAGTCTTCTTCTGTTAAATAGGGAACTTAAACTTTAGAAAAAGGAATTTGCAGAATCCACGCACCGAAGTCTTCCACTGGTTCAGATTTTTATCCTTGTATAACGTAAGCCATGGAGGTCTGTCAGGCATGAGATGTGGGAGTCTTATCTAACCATTCTAAGTCACTGCCATATTCACACCATCACATAGTTATAAAAACATTGCTTCTTTCACCTCTTTTAATTTAAAATTTTTTTATTGAAATATAGTTGATTTACAATGTTGTGTTTCTGGTGTATAGCAAAGTGATTCAGTTATATATATAATATATATATAATTATTCAGTTTTATATATATTATATATAATATGTTATTATTTATATATATTATATATAATAATGTGTTATTATTTATATATATATATTTTCAGATTCTTTTCCATTATGGTTTATTACAGGATTTTTTTTGAATTAATTAATTTTATTTATTATCTGCTCGGTTGGGTCTTTGCTGCCACGCATAGGCTTTCTCTACTTGTGGCGAGCGGGGCCACTCTTCATGGCGGTGTGTGTGCTTCTCATTGCGGTGGCTTCTCTTGTTGCAGAGCATGGGCTCTAGGCACACAGGCTTCGGTAGTTGTGGCACGTGGGCTCAGTAGTTGTGGCTCGCGGGCTCTAGAACACAGGCTCAGTAGTTGTGGCACATGGGCTTAGTTGCTCTGTGGCATGTGGGATCTTCCCGGACCAGGGCTCGAACCCGTGTCCCCTGCATTGGCAGGTGGTCTTAACCACTGTGCCACCAGGGAAGTCCCTATTACAGGATATTGAATATAGTTCCCTGTTCTATATATAGTAGGACCTTGTTGTTTATCTATTCTATATGTAGCAGTTTGTATCTGCTAATCTCAAACTCCTAATTTATCCCTCCCCCACCCCCTTTCCCCTCTGGTAACCATAAATTTGTTTTCTGTGTCTGTTTTTTCATCTCCTCTTAATGCAGACTAACTGAAAGATTTAATATCAGTTTATTTAATCATAGCTATTGTTTTAGTAATAATAATAGTAAAATAGAGTAGTGATATTAATAATGCTACCTCTCATTTATTTTGTGCTTGGGTTTTTTCATGTGATATCTTATTTTCCTCATAACAGTCTTTAAGTCAGCCAAGGCAGATATTATGGTCTCTACTTAATGGAGGGGAAACTGTCAGAGGTTCACAGACTGATATTATTGAAGGATCTTAAAAGATACAGCAGTTATTTAGTTGATTATCTAACTGTTTGGGGGGCATTATCTGAACCCAAATTCAAAATATTCATTTTTTTTGTTGTTGGGTTTTTTTTTTGTTTTTTTGTTTTTTGCGGTACGCGGGCCTCTCACTGTTGTGGCCTCTCCCATTGCGGAGCACAGGCTCCGGACGCGCAGGCTCAGCGGCCATGGCGCACGGGCCCAGCCGCTCCGCGGCATGTGGGATCTTCCCGGACCGGGGCATGAACCCGTGTCCCATGCATCGGCAGGCGGACTCTCAACCATTGCGCCACCAGGGAAGCCCCAAAATATTCATTTTGATGTTATCTGGGATGATTTTTAACACTGCGGAAACTCTGACAATTTTCTTTACTTTTATGTCACTTGGATGACCTCTGTTTTAAGGGCCACATCCTTGTGAATTATAAAAAGCATACTTAATACTCAACTTTTCTGTTACTGCCCCATGAATCACCATTATTAAAATTTAATAAAGTGTTATTGTCTCCATTTTGTTGAGAGTACTGTGTAGAATACATAACATGCAGGACCCCTGTTTCTAGGATGTTTATGATGACAGGACTTCTAGTTCTAATACTTCAAACAGCAAGCATTCATCAAAAGTTCTCCTAATCTGAATTCCTAATGAGCATAACTTTAAGTCCTCCAATAATCTTTGAAGGTTTGGTGAATATAACTGACATCATTTTTTTTTCTCAGAGATGTTCTTTGTGTATCACTTATACCCATGGTACTTGTGAGATGCTCGTCTTTATTATGTTGAGTTATTGGGATTTTCCTCTTCAGAAGCAAAAAGGGATAAAAACTAGTGAGAATTAGGTGGGAGATACTCTTTATATTAACTTTGGTTTGCCCAAGTTTTCTATTAAATAAAATCTATCTACATACACTGGGCTGGTATCCAGCTAAGTATCAAGACAAGAAGAAACACACTTTCTCATATTTTCCCAAATGTTATCTTTGTTTAACTTTATGGGCATAAGTAGGGAGAAGAACCTACAGAAGTTGTGTTTGTAGTTATTCATAAATGCAGGTAATCATAAGTGAAAGAGCTTTAAAACTGCAGGGAAACATCTTCATGCATTAGAGGTAAAGTATCAATTCTTACAATGAAGTTAATGAAAGTATATTTTAAACAATTTGTAAAAAGATACAGGAGCTCAATTTCTCTATGTTCTATAAAGCAAAATAAAACCAATTGCTGAAGCTTTACTAATAGCTGACATTCATTGCATGCTCGCTAGATGCCAGGCACTGTGCTGAGCTCCTTACATGGATGATCTTGTTCAATCCTCCTTAACCCTGCAAGGTGGCTACTGTTATTTTTCTCATCTTAGGCATGGGGAAGCTGGCATGGAGAATTTATCAAAGGTACTCAGAGTCACAGACCTGGTGAGCAATGGAGCAGGGATTCTCATGCTGGCCTGTCGGGCTTCGAAGTTTGCACTCGGTCACTGCATGATGCTAATTCTCTCATGTTTATTTCAGCCCAGGGTCCAATTTCTTTTCATTAATGTTGTAGGATATGAGAATAAATGACATATGCGTGTCAGGCAAATCATTCACTTCATTTATTTTCTCTTCTTAGTTCATTAAGAATTAGATTTATTTCCTCCAATAAAATGTGACTTTTTCTTTGTACTTCCATATTTTATTTCATTTCACTTGTTATGCTAACAGCCTTTTTTGCCTCCTTTTCCTGCTGAGGTCAAGAATTCTGAGGAGGGGAATATAATCTGTTTTTTTGTTAGGTAAAGGCTGAATTTGTAAATTAAGTGGCAACAATATTTTTTTAATTATTAATTTTTAGTTAATAATTTCCATTTTTCTTTAGTGCAGTGATTCTAGGAAAATCCTACTGTTAAATACATTTATTGACCTAACCATCATCACCACCATCCCGTTGCTGAGGGGATTGCACAAGATAGAGCCTGTAAATTTCAGCTGTAAACTGTTATGCTAAAATCAGTACTTCTATGAAAAATACCTTCCTCCGTATTGTCTGGAAGTCACTGCCAGGAGTGGAGGTCAAATAGGTGAACAAGATGGTGTTACAGGCTGTGGATTCCTTACTGGTAGGGGACCCTCCTCCTCTTCTCTAGGCAAAGTGGAGCTGCATGTATAGCGGTTACATGTGGACTCAGGTGGTCTGGGTTCAAGCCCAGTTTTGTCACTGAATGACTGTGTGATTTTGGGTAAATTACTTAATCTCCATGTAGCTTAGTTTCTTCATCTGTAAAATGGGACTGGTAATAGTTCTTCCCTTATAGGGTTATTAGGAGAGTTAAATGAGGTAATGTATGCATAGTCTTTAGCATAATATCTGGTATATAGTTAAGTGCACAATAATGTGAGCTGTTATATTTTATTAAACTGTCATTCAAGGGTTAATACTACTTCTCCATGAGGCATTAAGAAGACTACACCAGTCTGTGGCTTAAGAGATAACTTGTTCAGGCTCAGGCAGCTGGGCCGCTGGGGACCTGGGGCTTCGCGCACCCATGAGGTTTTGGATTTCCACCAGTGGTGCTGTGGACCCCGAAATTCCCCTTCCCCCACCCTCTTCTTCATGTGGGCAGTCTTGATAACTGGAGGTGAGGCTGTGCCGGCCATGTTATTGTGCATTCTTTATGGAACACCACCTCCCTGCCGCCCCCCACCCCGCCCCAATTATTCAACTCTGTGCAGCAACTGGGCTCTTGTGTTTATAAGCCCAGAAATCTTGAGTCACCAGTCCGGGCCTAACACTGTTATGGGCGTACTGTGCATTCTAGAGGCAAAAAAAAAAAAAAAAAAAAAGAGGAGGGGGAGCTGAGGAGGTAGGTTGTGCCTGTGAGGACCTGTTCTGTAGACAAGATGAATGTACAGGACTGAATGTGCATCGGAATGAATGAATGCACAGGAATCGCGCTGACTAGTTCACCCATGAAGCCCCCTGAGAGGTAGCATGAGGTAATGGAAAGAGGATGGTTTTTGCTGTCCAACAGTTTCAACTCTTGGCTCTACTAATCCCCAGCTGTGTGACATTGGACAGACTAACCTCTTCAAGCCTGTTCCCTCACATTTAAAGTGGGATATAATTGTCTACTACACAGGTTGTATGAGGATTAAATGAGATCGCACATGTGAAAGCCTCTAGGAGCACGGTACCTGTCTAAACATGCAGTGCATGTTGGTTCCTTTTCCCTCTGGGGCTTCGGCCGATGCAAATTCTTCCTGCAGGTACTTGGAGTATGTTATATAAGTGAAATGAGCTGTTAGCAACTGGAGGGAGAAGTCACTATGGGTGTGCCTGGAGGGGAGAGGGTTAGGCCAGGCTTCAAGAGACAGGTAGGATTTGGATGGGCAACAAGAAGGAAGGTAAAGTGCCCCCAGAACAAAGGGGTACCTGGCCAGGCGGTGTTCTCTGGGGGAGAGGAGAGCAAAGGGTCATGTTCAGAGGGGCTGCAGGTGACTGGATGGGGTCAATTGGAGACAGTGTAATTCAGCTCCAAGTCCTATCCCTGTTTTGACATTTACAAGACATGTGACCTTGGGAAAATTGCTTAATATCTCTTTCTACCTCAGTTTTTTTTAAAGAAAAATAATTGTATTTTTTAAATATACAGTAAAATTGACTTTTTTTGATACACAGTTCTATGAATTTAACACATGTATAGATTTGTGAAACCACCATCATAATCAGGATACAGAACAGTTCCATCACTCCCCAAATCTGCCTCATGCTGTCTCTTTATAGACACATCCTCTGCCATAATCCACTAATCTGTTCTCCGTCATTAAAACTTTGTTTCCTCTTGAGAATGTCACATAAATGGAATCACATAGTCTGTAACGACTCAAGACTGGCTTCTTTCACGTAGAACAATGTTTTTAAGATTCATCCATGTAGTTGTGTGTATCAGTAACTTGTTCCTTGTTATTACTGAGTAGATTCCATTATATAGATATACCATAGTTTATTCACCTATGAAGAACATTAGAGTTGTTTCAGGTTTTTGTCCAGTTCTCAGTTTTATCATTTATAAAGTGGGTTGACGTTAATAACTGTGCTTTCCTTATAGCACTATGAGAATTAAGTAGGATAGGGTATATGTATGTGTATGTATATATATATGTGTATGTATGTATATATATATATGTATGTATCACCATGTTTTAGATAGGATGGTACCCAGCAGAAAAAGAAGTATTGATCAATGAAACAAAATGAAGAGTTTGGAAATGAGTATAAATATTTTGTATGAGATATAAAGCATGTTTTCAAAGCAGGTAGGTAGGGAAGGAGAACTTCTATCCATCCCTCCCCCTAGGTAATCTCATTCAGTTCCATGGTCCAGTGTTTTAAATAGAGTAGCTAACTGCGGGGACACAAGTTGCAATGCCTGGATTCAATTACCAGCTCTGCCAGTACTAGCTGGACAAGTTCCTTAAATTCTTTGTACCTTAGCTCACACATCTACAAAGTGGAGATACTACTGGGACCAACCTCACAGGGTTGTTGTGAGGGTTAGATGAGTTAATATATGCAAAGCCCTTTGGTTGGGCTCTGGCACATAATATGTAGTATTATATGTGTTTAGCTATTCTTATTATGTATGTATTTTATTTTCAGCTTTGTTGGTGTATAATTGACAAAACTTGTATATATTTAAGGTATACACCTTTATTTTTGTATATATATTGTAAAATAATTGCCACAATCAAGCTAATTTTTTTTTTTTTTTGGCCGTGCTGTGTGTCTTGTGGGATCTTAGTTCCCTGACCAGGGATGGAACCTGGGCCCTGACAGTGAAAGTGCCAAGTCCTAACCACTGGACTGCCAAGGAATTCCCACAATCAAGCTAATTAACATATCCATCATTTAACATTGTAAACTGTTGTTTCTTTTCTTTTTTGTGGTGAAAATACTTAACATCCACCCATTTAGAAGATTTCAAATATAAAATATAGTATTGTTAACTGTTGTCACATTGATGTACATTTCACTTCTAGAATATGTTCATCTTGCCTAACTGAAACTTTGTATCCTCTAACATCTCCCCATTTCCCCCATCCTCCAGCTCCTGGCAACCAGCTTTCTATTAGCTGTTTCTATGAGTTTGTTTCAGATTGCACATATAAGTGAGACATGCAGTATTTGCCTTTCTGTGTCTGGTTTATTTCACTTCATATAGGGTCCTCTGGTTTCTTCTATGTTGTCACAAATGGCAGGATCTTCTTCTTTTGAAAGGCTGAATAATATTTCACTGTATATATATTCGTTATGTATGTATTTTAGATAATGTGTGTAGATTATGCCAACTACAGAAAAGAGCATTTAGGTTCTCGGATGATTTCAAGTTAGGATAGGATGAGCAAAGACCCTCTTTCCATTTTATTTGTTTCTTTTATGCTGTTTTATTTTCAGGGCATTGCTCCCAAAATAGAGTTTTCTACGAGGACAGCCATCAGAGAACGTGTGTTTCTGCATAGACACAGATTTCTTGTAAGTATAATCGAGAATCCAGTGATAGAAATGTTAGAAATTTTCTCCACAAATTTAAAGAATTTCAGCCTAAACTCGGTTTACCAAGTTTAGATGCAACTGGACAAACAGAAACCTGCAAACTTATTACTAGGTTTGAATTTCCATAGTTAAACTGTTTGTTCAGCCTGTCACATTAGAGTGAGTATGTTTGGCATGTATTCATCATGGCATAATTGGTGGAACAGAATGATCCAGAAGCTACGATCACAAGCTTGATGTGTTGTTTAGTTAGCTTTTGCTGTTGTTGTTCCATGACTTTTACTCTTGATTTTATCAACAGTAGTGTTTCCTTCTTTCCTGTGCTGAGGCTGAAGCTCAGAGTTGTATTTGTGGGCCACCTTTGGTAACAGTGAGGGTCTTGGGGCATCCATGAGCACTACCTTCATTTTACTCTCTTGTTCAGCCCTAATTTCCCCTTCACCCTGATTTCTTTCTGTTTTTGTTTTACCTTATTGTCCATAATTTTGCAACCGTGTCAAATCGTTTCTAAAATGATATAGAGAGTTAATGAATATGGTTTGTAGACCTCACCTGGAGTCCTAGAAAATGCCTTGAAAATGTGGGCTTTGGGTTAAGAGGTACTGAATGAGAAGGGTCACTAATCTGTGCAAGTCCATCGGTCCCCTGGGCACCATAACTCATAAATGGGAAGCCAGTGGTTAATTTTCAGGAAGGCAATAGCTGCTTTTTAGTCTCTCCTTATTTACCCACTGTTTTCTCCAATCTGTTTAAGTGTGCACAGTGATCTTTCAGTTTATTATTCTTTTTCTTCTACTCCACCATTTTAATCTTGTTTTAATCTCCTAATATAGGTCTTCCTATATTAACTTTTTTAAGTGTTAACTTTTAAAAATAATAGCTTTCATTGTTTTCCTATAACAAAAGTATCCCAGTTATTTTATACAATTAGAAAATACAGATAAGAAAAAGGACAAAATAAAAATAACCTGTTATTCTTACTATCTAGAGATGAGCATGACTACTTTTTTGAATATATTCTTCTGTACACACACACACATACACATATTGTTTTAATTTTAGAAGATTAGGACCATACTACAATAATATGATATTATTTCATATCATATTTTCACTTTGAATGTCATGAACGTGTTCTCATGTCCTTAAGTATGCTTAAGCCAGGCAATTTTTCATGGCTTCATACCATGCCATTGTACAGAAGTACCATAATTTTTGGCAATTCATTTTTCTGTTGTTGGGTACTAAGCTGATATATTAGTCAGGGTCCAGTCTGGAAAACAAACCATACCTGTTACTTTAACAGAAAGATTTAATGTAAAAAAAAAAAAGAGGGCTAAACGAGGGTTGGAGGACTGAAAGGAAAAGGGGAACAGTGAAGTGATGGAGATAGTAACTACAGGAAGCAGCTTCCACCTCTAGCGTTGGGGGACCAAAGGGAAGAGGTTGGATCATCAACAACATAGAAATTGGAGGAAGAAACCCCATAGAAAGGGCACCCAGACATGTGGGGAGGGGCTGCTCTCCTGGGTGTTTCCTCATGATTTCAGAGGGGAGACTCTGATGAGCTGGGACTCAGATCTCTAAGGAGGGACACTGCTCATTGCTGCTGTCCCAGGAGCTTGGAGGAAGGATCCTGTGGGGCTAGACTCAAATCTCTGAGCAAGGGGCTCTCTGGCCACCTGGTGCTGTGAGGCTAGTTTTGGATTATGATAGTAAAAAACTATAAACTGGAGCCATTTGCTGCTGTCAAGGTGAAGAATGGTTGCTGGGGTGATGCTGACAAGAACAGAACGCAAAACTGGAAGTCCCCAGTCCCTTCCTCCTCCTCCTCTAGTCTTACGGTCTCCCTCTAGCGCCCTCTAGTGGTGGAGCCTAACAAAACAGCTGGAAAAACCGAAGGGGGTTTGCAGAGTGCCAGGTCCAGTATCATAAAGCTGAGTGTAGAAAGGTGGGTTTGGAGCTGAAAGGAAAGTGCTTACTCACCAATATAGTTGGTTTCTAATTTTTGAAGTGTTCTAAGAATTTCTGTAGCTATACATATAGCCATAATTATTTCCTTATAATAAATTCCTTGAAGTGAAATTGCTGGACCCAAGTTTATGCCAAATTCTCTCTCTCTCTCTCTCTCTCACTATATTTCTACATCTGTCAATCTTCTGTCTATGGTGGGGGGGGGGGGGGGGTATCTGATACTTTCCAACTTTCTCATAATGCAAATAAATCTCACTGCTAATAGTTGAAATATACTAGTGATACTAACCTGACCTGAAGAAAAATTTTAAAATGCCCTTCCTTAAGTTCATGTTTTATAAATCTGAGATGTTCAGTCTTCTACCTTAGTTAAAGTTCAATTAAACACAGTTATATTCTGATTGAGTTTTCTTCTTTAAAAATATTGTTTCTTTTTTGGGTTTTCAGGAAGAAAGATGTGAGTCACGAAGGCCTTTATCCACATCAAATGGACCAAAATTCCCCTTAAGTAGTATAAAGATGAAACCAAGGGAGAGTAATCTCGACAGACTGCCCCAAGGCATGCAGTCCCGGCCGCCCTCTCCATATTTCACCAGGCGTTTCTTTCAGGACCAGCCAGCTCAACTGAATCTTGGAGATAGTTTCAAAATACCTGGAGAAAGCAAACCTCCATTTGTAGTAAGACATGTGAGCCTAAAATTATTTTTCACAGTCCTTTGGAATGGTGAGGGTGTGAATGAGGGTGGAATAAAGGAAGGTTGGACCATGAAAACAAATGAGTAAGTAAATAAATAGAGGAAACTCCAGTTGAATGACAGCTATGATTAAATTATGTTCACTTCCTAGAGTCATTGTCAGGAAAGATGTCTTATGCAGAAGACTTGCTTAGTAAATGTCTGCCATCCCTATTTTTAATTTCTGAAAATTATTAATAGAGAGTGTTATCTACATATGATAACCTGCCACTGTCCAGAAAAATCAATGAACTGTCAGTGGTAGAAGATGCATATCAAAGGCTGGCATATACTCTGTACCAATCTGAAACCAAAGCCTCATCTGTTTTAAGAAAACTGGTTTGAGTTTTCTTAGTGAGGTCGTTGCTTAATGGCCACACTTTTAAGAGCAGGAAACATATGTCTGCAGGAAGATGCAATGATGTGCCACAGTCAAAGCCCTTAATTAAAGTTATTTTAGATTTAGCCCTCAGGAAATAGTAGGCAAATTCAATCACACTTGTTCTCATAGTCTCAAGATTTTTTGACTACTATAAAAGTAAAGGAAAATGTGGAAGAGTTCAAGACAAAAATTGCCCACAGGTTCACCAGAATAATAAAATCATTGTTTAATTTGATACATTTTCTTTTGCCTTTTTTTGGTATTCATAATGCCTTATTTTTTCCCACAAAGTTGTAATTATACTGTATATACAGATTTGTTTCTTGATATTTACAGTTAATATTACATTAAAAACACTTCCAGTATTAGTTCATATTTTTCATGAATACCATTCCACATTCTAGTTCATGACTTATTCTTCAGAATGTTAACTATTGATATTATTGTCAAGTTGATAATTTGACTTGATGATGTTTGTGCATTAGACACAAGAAATGAAGCATGGTAAATCTCAAAGGCAAGGTGCTTTTGAGATGACTGGATATAGAGTTGGTTTGTAGGTAGAACAGAGACGTTGTTTGGCTAGAAAGTACAGGATAGCTGTTTTCTTCATGGTGACCTGGGTAAAAATGTCTGGCAAAATCCAGCAATCACTCTTTAAACGTGGCTTCATACAAATATTGCTGAATTGAGTTTACTGAGTCTGATTTATATCATTTGACATAAATTTTTATAAAATACAACTTTAGTGTATGCCATTATGGGCTAAATAAACTTAAAATCTTGGAAGGTTTCTTAGGGAATTAAAACTTGCTTGATACTTTTATTTAACAAATTCTTATACAGTCTTTACTAATGTGCCAAGCTCTTTCCTAAGTGCTTTTTTATTTAGCCAGATTTCCTGATATCTGAAGTTTAAGTAGCAGCATTAAAATGTAGAGGACCTGATGTTGTCAAGATTGTAAATTCTAATCAAAGTATTTCTTGAAGTAGATTGAAGAGTAATATTATAACATGCTTTCTTGAAATTTAAAAAAAAAAAAACAGAAATAAACAATGTTACAAAGAAACTGCAGCAACTCTATGTCGTACATATTCTGGAAGAGTCTCTATTTCAAGTATTTTGGCATGTTGTCCAGTGTAGGAAAATACGGTTACCTTAAGTAAAATAATACAGTCACCACTATTCTTTTTTTTCAAGAATATAGACACTCAGACTGGAAGGGGATGTGGAAGGCTGAAATGTCGCCTTGTGAAAATCCCTTGTCTTCAGGGAGGACCACACCTAGGCCAGTACTGCTCAGACTGTTTAGGAACATGAAACTCTGTCTGGTTCTAAAAGAATGTGAAGTAAATGTCACTTGCTGTTTTCTGGGCTGGAGCCTTACCAGTGGTTAGAATATGAGTTGTGCCTAGTGCTAGGCCATGTCTTCGTGTTCTAACCTCAGTGAAGGTAGGGACAGACAGGTTTCCCTATTGGGTATAACATTTTATATACTTGGAGACTGTGATTTAATCTGTTCCCAACCTCTTTTCTCACCTGCATGACTGTGACTGAGGGGGAGAAAGGCATTACAGGTAATGAGGAGAGGGTAATACAAGCTACAGTGGGTTCAAGTCTCATTCCTTTCCTTTCCTTTCAGGTGGACAGTGCAAAGCCCTTTGGTGAGAACAGTTCAGAGCATCATTCCCAGAAGTCTAGAAGAAAATCTGACTTTTCAAACTTTCCATTTCCAGTGAGAAGAGGTACTTGAGTTTCTTGTTATTCCTATACAGTTTCCCCATGGGAACGAATGCATTCTACCTACCTCTAAGTCTTCTTCATTCTGAGGAATCACATGTTTCTTTGGAAATTCAGGGCCTAATTCTCAGGTGCCCTCCCACTGTGGAGTTTCCAGGGAGGGAGTTCCCATGAGCAGAGTCAGCTGAGAAGCTGTTTCAGAGTTCCCCTAGCTGTTGAAGGAGACTGCTCTGAGTAGTGTGACCACTGAGCGTGCTCTAGCTGTGGTTGTTCCCTGGCTGGGCTGGAAAAGCAGGGAGCATCTTGTCCTGGTGGAATCTTCTTGCTAAGGCACCACTGATAGCTAACATACAGGACTCTCCGTTTCTCTGGATAGGAAGCAGCAGGGGATTGTTGGAGATCAGGAGATGCAACACTTACTTTACAAGATTCCATGTCAGCAAAGGAGGAGAGGCAATTTGTCTGAAGCAGTGAGGTTAAGGCAGGGGATCTCAAATGTTTAGATTTCAGTACCCTTTTGCATTAAGTATTATTGAAGACCCCAATGAACTTTGTGTATGCAGATGATATCTATCAATATTTAGTGTTAGAAATTAAAACTGAGAAATTTGTAAAATACAAGAATATACAAGCACACATTCCATTAACCATCAGAGTGGTGACATCATGACATATCATGTAGCTTTTGGAAAACTCCATTATACAGTTGTGAGAGAAAGAGAGTGAAAAAGAGATTAATATTAATAGGAGAACAGTTTTGATCTTGCAGAGCTCCTGAAAGGTCTTAGAGACCCATGGGGAGGCCCCTGGATCACACACTGAGAGGCACTGGGTTAAGGCCTCCCTGGGAGGCCTTTACTTTATGATTGAAATACATGAACCATGTCAATACTGAAGGTCAGGGCAGTGAATTTCAACCATTCCTGAATTAATAAAAATTCTTAGGCTAGAAAGGGATGGTGGTGGCCCATTCTCTTGACTCTTGGTGAGACTGGACCTGTACCATCCCTGACAACAGGGTTTCCTATGTTAGGCTGAAAGGTTTATACTTTTAAGGGGCTGCACATTCTCTTGTGGTAACTCAAACCAGTGTCCTTGAATCACTGTGACTGTTCTACAGCAGCAAACCAAGGACAGAAGACAGGGTTTGAAGCAGAAAGTGCTTCATCACCTCTGACATTTAAGTCCTTTGGATTGAAAATCACCCATGTAGCCCATAAAAGCAGCACTGTCTTCCCCATTACTGTGAAATCAAACAACAGGAAATGTCCTTTCCCAGGGAGGACAGTTGGGCTTAATGCTAGCTCAATTACAGCGGGACTCATATATCACATTGGTCTCAGCCTTTGTCTTTCTTAATCCTGGCAGGTGGAGAACTAAGGTTCCAGAGAGGTTACAGAGTGTGTACAGGTCACACACCAAGTTTTTGGCATACTTACATTTAGAGAAGAAGTTCAGACCTCGGGGCTCAGATCCTTGGAATCCCTGTAGCTTCCAAGCCAGACTTTTCCTTAGGCCACCTGTCAGCTCATTCATTCAGGCCTAAGGTAGAATAAAGCAGTGCTTCTCAAACTTCAGTGTGCATTTGAATCACCTGGGGATCTTGTTAAAGTGCAGATTCTGATTCCCTAAGGCTGGGGTGGGGCCTGGAATCCCTCTTTTCTAACAAGCTTCCAGGTGATACCGATGCAGCTGGTCCATGGACTACACTTTGAGAAGCTAGGAAACAAGGGCAAACTCCCCGTGAAAGGGAGTGTTCAAAAATCAGTAGCAAGGGGGTTCCTAGGCAACAGGGCAGATTTATGGTTATAGCTGAAAAGGGGCTTAGCATTACCAATTCCCTGCTCAGCTGGGAGTTGGGTGGAAGAGAGCTTCTAGGACAAGATGCCCACACACCTATGTGCATGCCCAGAGGATATGACAATTAGCATGCTTTAAAAAAATCCCTTTTTATATCTTCCTTCTTTTTGCCAGTGGCATTGGGGAATCAGCAGACCCCTGTCACTGCCTAAGCCCCAGTCATGCTGGGGGAAGCCACGGTGGCCTTAGCATAGTCTTGCAAATACTCATTTCAAAAGCATTTTTTTTTCAACCTGGAAAAATCCCATTTATTCTTGGTTTTATCTGTGTGTATTACGTCTAGTAATTCTTACCATTCTCTGGCATTAGGTCTATTTACTTATTATGATTACTTGGGTAATCATAATGATTTACACTTTTGCTGTGTTGTTTTTCCAAGCTCTTATGTATTCATTTTTGTATCTACCTTGGACAAGTACACTCAGGAGTTTCTGCATAAGTAGGATTTTATGTAAACCAAATATAAAGGGAATGCCAGAAGAGGCAGAGGGTATGAATTTTACATTGAGCCAAATGGCTTTCTTTTAGGCCCTGGGCACCTGGGCAAATAAGAGTTTTCCAGGCTGCCCAAGGGCTACTGAAGTTATTGCTTCACTTTAGACTCCCATTTACTCTTCCTGTATCCATACATGCTGTCATTAATATAACCTCATTGTTGACCTCAAGAGGACAGTAAAACTAATAGATAAATTGCTGTGACTTCAGGAAGACTTAAAGGTGATGGTATAATTTACAAGGGAGCATTTAAGTTCTCTGATAATTCATTCATTGTGTAATATTTTTGTACTGCTGTGGAATAAGTGTAACAGCAGCTTTAGGGGTAACTGGTAATAATGAGTCATTGAAACACCTGTTCCTCTTTCTTCTAGCTTCTTCTCTTGACAGCCTTGCAGCTAACGTAAAGGTAATTTTAGAAGTAGCATTTGTAAACTGATTTATTTCCAGCTGTCTAATGTCAATTATTGTGCTTCCTCCCATGAGTGGTGGAAAGTATATTTCTAGCTAATGCTGCTTATGGAATTCCTGTAGTTTAACTTGAGTTGCTTTGCTTTAGTTGGTTTATTCCCCTCACATAAACTCTTTTCATTTGTAGGATGAATCACCAGTGAGGGTGTATGTAGGCCCAATATCTACTCTATCAGTAGGGATTTTCATTACTTTTTCTCTAGTCGAGTACCTTTTTATATGCGATGGTAAATCAGTTGTTCTTAAAGTTTGATTGGTTTATTCAGGTGAAGGTGCAGACTTCCATGTTACAACATGAGAATGGATATATGCAAAGAAAATGGAGTACACTGAGCTTCCTTTGCCATAGCAGTTAAATATTTCGTCTAAAAAATTATGTCTTTCCCGAACCCAATAATCTCCAATCCTCACAAACCAAAGCTCAGAGCATGAGTTGATTTTGGCTTGTGAATATATGCCAAATGTACAGAATTTTGGTTATCTTTCCTTGCCCTTGACTGCTGAGCGTTTTGTCTCTAGTCTTCTCTATTCCCACCCCTCTTTTATTTGCAGGAGATCCCTGCGGCAGGTATTCTATCATCTTGCCCCCAGTTCTCTTCCCTGTCCCACCCGGCCCCCAGCTCTAAATTAAGCAAACCAAAGCAAAAACTACAACTAACGATTAATGCACATTGTCACTCAGGTTATCAAAGAGCCAGATGAACGGATTGTTTTAAGGAATGAATCACCATTATCGTTAGATTTAAGTAAGTTTGAAAAGCCCTCGGCCAGTTACAGTCATCAAGGGGATGCCGATGTCCACTGGGAAACTTCATTTGCCACCTCCCAACACTCCAGAACTCCCAGCCCTCTTCTGGATCAGCCCCTTCTCCGAGAAAGGTCAGCAGCAAGCACCCATCTCTTTGCTAGAAGAGTGCCTTGTGGTCTGGCAGGAGTAAAGTCAGGTCACTTCATCAGTTTGCTTCCTTAGGAATATTCAGCTGGGGACACCTTGATATGAAAAATTATTATTCCTTGAAAAATAATCCCAAAAGTAAGAATTGAGACTTTTCTCTTACCCTGGAAAGCATATCTCAGAATGCTTGTTGAAAATGGGACAGACAGCTAACTTGGCATAGGTACTATTTATCTATCCATTATTATTTGTCATAAATTTTAGAACTCAAGCTTTTGGTTTCACCAGTATAAAAGAACTCACTATCGAAAGTTTAGAAATTATAGAAAAATGAAAAGGAGTGAAAAAAAAAATCACCTATAGTCCTGCCACCCAAAGACAAGCATGATTAATATGTGGGTGTATTTTCTTTCTCTTTTTCTAGACATGGTTTGTTGGCTTGTTTATATTATTGTCACACACACACACACACAAACCCACAATTGCCTATGTCTGGAGGGCAGGCCAGAGATTGAGAGCAGGAAACTTTATTTTCCAAACTGCACTCCCAGCTGATGTGACTAACCATCCGGTTTGCCCCAGACTGTCCTGATTTTAACCCTGACAATCCTGCATTCTGGGAAACTTCTTGGTCCCAGGCAAACCAGGACAGTTGGTCACAACTCCAGTGAAGTAGCACAAAAGATAATAGTTTTAAGATAGTTGTTTTGAATGAAAGATAGGCCAGTCTTGGGCTTCCCTGGTGGTGCAGTGGTTGAGAGTCCGCCTGCCGATGCAGGGGACACAGGTTCGTGCCCCGGTCCGGGAAGATCCCACATGCCGCGGAGTGGCTGGGCCCGTGAGCCATGGCCGCTGAGCCTGCGCGTCTGGAGCCTGTGCTCCGCAATGGGAGAGGCCACAACAGTAAGAGGCCCACATACTGAAAAAAAAAAAAAAAAAAAAAGATAGGCCGGCCTGCTTTTCCCTGCATTGTTAGTGATGAGAATAAGAAATCTCCACATAAAAATAATACAGTTGCTAACAAAGAGACTTGTAGTAAATATCCCAGAACAAAAGTGGCACTGAAATTTTAGTAGGAATTATAAGAAAGTGACAATGCATTCTTAGACATTTTTCAGAAATGATAGAATACCTTTATATTAAAATGGACTTGAGGAAACCAAGTAAAATATTTTGATAAAATCTACTAAGTAATGGTGAGTCCTTGATTAGTTACTGTATTGGAAGAAAATAACACAACATAGATTTTTAAAAATTGGCCTTGGCTCCCAGAGACAGGTGGTGAGAGACACATTTACACCCGTCTCTGGGCCTGGTCTCCCTTCTCTTCTGGCTTCTTCTCTTTCTACCAGCCTGCAGCTTAACAGGTGGACAGAGCAGGTAGGGGGTTACCCCAGATGTAAAGACTTAGAATTTATTTTAAACAGAGAAGGGGAGGAACCTTCAACTGGTGGTAGTCAGGACACTTGAGCTCTGCTCAACCTGTCTCCAAGTGCTGTGTGATCTCACACAAGTACTCAGCCTTTTAGACCTTAGTTTCCTCATCTGTAAAAGGGGTTTAGTGATCAAAGATCCATCCTCTTGCAGCCCAAAGTGCTTCTTTGCAGCCAGAACTGGAAGAAGCTCATGGATTTTGCCCATGTGCCTTGTTTTCGTACATCACCCAAACTCCTTATAATCAGCATAGCAAGCTTTTCTGAGGGACTGAATTGAGCATCCATTTATTGATAACCTATTATGTGCAGTGTATGTGATCGTGACACATCCTGGCTTCCCAGTGGCTCACACACTAGACGGGGTGGCAGGCATACCCCCATGTCACTAAATTTGAGATGGATTATGATGTGCACTTAACAGAAGTATAATCGAAATGTAGGGGAAAGGCAGAGCAAGAGGAGGTTAATTCCATTAGGAAGGAGATCTAGGAAGGCCTCGTTTCTTTTTAAATAACTTTGTTAGATGGTTTATGCATTCATTCAACCAGTCTTTCCTGAGTATCTTTATGCAGCAGGACAGTAATTCTCAACTCTGGCTCACTGAAGAATTGCCTCATATTGAGTCAGAATCCTTGAGATTAGTACTGGGTGTGTGGAGGGGAATGTAGTATCTCTGTGATTAAAAGTGTGCCTCACCAATTATACCTCAATTTAAAAAAAAGACACATGAAGAATCAGTTACCAATTCATGGCACTTAGTAGACATTCAATAAATACTTGCTGACACAAGGGAAAAAAACAGTGCCTCAGAAGGAAAACAGGATTGATAGTCAACCTGCTAGTCCTGGAATAGAAATGCTAACATTTAAGACATTTCTTCTGATCTCTGAGAACTTGCAGAGGATGTTAAAAAAAAAAATGTACACAGAGAGTTTTCTACAAGGCAGAACTTTGAGAACAGTACAGACCAAATGCTATCAGAGTATAAAGGAGAAGGAAAGTACTCTGGAATGTTTTATGGAGGAGGTGGCATTTTCATGGGGGCCCAGAGGGGAGGGGATTGGATTGTGATAGTTAATGGAGGAGAGGGATGGGAGGTGAGAAGGCAGCGGGTGCTGTCAGGTTCTAAAAGTTAGAGCAGGCTTGGGGAGAAGTGGGTGCCAAGGCTGAGGGTCTGACGGGGACTGTGGAAACCAAGCTAAGGAATTTGGGCTCAGTTGGAAGGCAGTGGGGAGCTTTTGCAAGTCATTCACAGGAATTAGCACAGTTGACTGTAGAATGATGACTCTGGCTGCAGACCAGAGTTTTAATCATTTATCTCTGATGAGTCAGCAAATTCTCTGTCCAAAGTCACTCTAAACTGATAAGTTTGGAACTAATCAAACTATGAATTTGTAAATAAGGTGACAAAGTATAACATGGTCACACAAAGGCTATCTGGTTTGCCCAAGACTGTCCTGGTTATAGCTGAAAGTCCTGCACTGTGGGAAACCTCTTAGTTCCAGGCATCCAGGAGAGCTTGTCACCTTAACCTCCAGGGAAGTGGCACTGAAGATAATAATTTTAAGGCAGCTGTTTTGAGTAAAGGATATCCCTTTGTATCCTTGGGGTAGAATCCATTCCCCATTGACCTCAGTGTAGCCCCTGTGGAAGAATCCATTCCCCGTTGACCTCACAGAGGTAGCCCTTGGAACACTAGGTGTTACTGTTATCGAACCAGGTTCGTTTGCCCTATGCACAACAAGCCAAATGCTGAGGTGCAGCGAAAGTTTATTCACAACGCAGCCAAGTAAGGAGATGGGAGAACAAGTCTCAGCTCCACCTCCCCAAAGGCAAGGGGCTTGAGATATTTATGGGATAAAGAAGCAGGGTGGTCTTAGGCATGAGGAAATGTGATTGGAGGTAGAGAAAAGGTGAAGTAATCGGTACTTTGCCCAGGCATATCTGGGTTACATCCTTCTTCATGGGATGCATGTTCAAAAATGGAGGTACTTAGCATGATCTGAGGGTGGAGTTTTTGGCCCTCTGAAGTCAAAAAATTGTTCATCAGATAACTGTGCAGACACAGTTTTAGGGTTAGTTATCCCAACCAGTCTTAGCCAGCTTGAACTAGACAGGATCCAACTCCATGTTCTTGTAAAACAACTTAAGCCCACCATTACTATAGTGACCTGTGATGTCAGAGGCTTTATCTATAGGGATGGTTAAGAAGTCTTGTGATATATTACCCTAGGCTATGTGAAGCTTGGAGGGTATGCAAATAAAGAAAGGAAAAAAGAATAAAAACAACTAAAGCAAGCTTAATCAGTAAAGGCAGTTTGTAAGAAGAGGGGTTTTTAACAAGCTGCTTCCTTATCTTCTGTAAGTCAAGGTCAAGAATTTCTGGTAGTCAACCATAAGGGGCGTAGTTTCACTACCAGTGCTTAGGCTCTGCCTCACTCACCGTTCTTTTCACATGAGCCACTGGGACCAGTCTCCCTCTGCTCAGATCACAGAAGTGCATGAGAAATACCTTTTGAGTTTCTGCTGACTTAATACTGAAATCAGCAAGGGCCAAGTTTGCAAGGATGAGATGCGAGGCAAGTTTTGGAGTGAGAATCAGCCCAAGGTTTTAATGGAGGAAGTGGAAAACCCTTTTAACTAGCAGCATGGGAAATGGTAGTCCCAAACGTGGGAGAAACACTCTCAAGCCGGTTCCCTAGCTCCAGTGTCCGGATAGAGTCACATCCCTTCAGCATCCATCCTCAGTTCAGCATCCATCCGCAGTTGTCCCACTGCACAAGGAGGCAGAGCACTGCTCTTGCCTGTTGACTCATCATTCTCAGAGGTCTTCAAATATAGTGTTGATTGTATATAGTAATAAGGGTAACAAGTGTACGGATAATTCTGGCACTGGTTACTCAAGACCAATGAAAAAGCATTTGCAGTGTCCATTTGGTGGCTATTTTTAAATGCCAATTTTATTTATAGCTTCAAAATATTTCTATTCCTTCATCTTAAAAATTCTTAGAGGAGTGTAGAAATGATGTACCTGGCCTTTTCTTAAACATGGGCAGTGCTTTTAATGGTTCGTTCATTTGCTGTGAGTCATTTTCCTGGGTTGGTAATGGATTTGTGTAGATCCAGTCATTCTCTTGGTCTTGTCTCCCTGGAAACCAGAGGGTACATGCTTGTTACAGGGAGCCAGGATGGGTGGCCTGGATGTGGGTCCCAAACCAAGCAGAGGGGCAACTGAACAGGGACTCATTAGTGTGGTGGCCATAACAACAACTGGATTGATTCTCACATGTTTCTGTCATTTCCAGTGTTTACTGTATATTAGTTAAAGAGAACGATTTTATCCAAATTGCTAAAAGTTTTAGGCATTTTAAGAAAACAATATCTGTGCTTTTCATAATCAAACTGCAAATTCTGCCTCAACTTAAGAATTGGTACTCACTTCCCTCCCCAAAATGAATGAATGAATGGATGAATTCAGTCACTCAAGAAATATGTATTAAATTCCTACTGTGGTATTCAAAGCCCTGAGATGAGCTATTAGCCCAAGAGGCTCAGTCCCAATTTCAGTCTAGGAGGAGAGACAGACATTAACCAAATAATGACAAAATGTCCACTGGGGGAAGTGCTATGAATGAGAGGTGAATGGATTCCAAGTGCATGAAATAGGGAAGCCGGCTCCCTCTACAGCAGGGGTCCCCAACCCCCCCGGGCCACGGACCGGTACCAGTCCATGGCCTGTTAGGAACCGGGCCGCACAGCAGGAGGTGAGTGGCGGGCGAGCAAGCGAAGCTTCATCTGCCGCTCCCCGTCGCTCGCATTACCGCTTGAACTCCCCCCCACCCAACCCCGGTGCCAAAAAGTGTCTTCCACAAATCCGGTCCCTGGTGCCAAAAAGGTTGGGGACCACTGCTCTACAGGAAGGGGCTCAGGAAGGATCTTCCTGAGAAATCAGTAACTGAATTGAGCTCTGAAGGTGGGTAGGACTCAACATGAGCGGGGATGGGGCTTGGGGGTGGCAGCATTCTACCCGAGGGAGCAGTGCTGGCAAGTGCCTATGGAAGGGAGAAAATGCAGCCTGTTTGAGGAACTGAAAGACACTGAAAGATCTGTGGTTAAGTTTGGGTCTGGGTGGCCTAAAGTAAATGACACATAAAAAACCCCTGGTAGAAAAGTTGGGATTAAATTTTGTATTAAAAATTTTGGGGTTACATGTTTTAAAAGTAAAAGCAGGATTTGTTCTTTAGAGAAATATCTAAAATACACAGTAAATTCCAAAGAAGAAAAGAGTCACACACCCTGACACACACCACTTTTAACATCTTGGTTGTTTTTATTCCCAGTGCTTTTCCTATATCTTAATATAGGCTTAATAAAGACATTGAAACCATGCTATGCACACTGTTTTGCATGTTGCTGCTTTTTTTTCTCACCTTTAAGTTATAAATATCGACCCTTATTGTTATGCACTCTAAGTGTCCTTTTTATCAGCTGCATAATACTCCACCCTGTTTACTCTGTTGAGCAGGTTCCACCCTGCGTCCCAGTCCATGTGGAAGAAGATCCACGAAAGGGTCTGCAGTCGTCTGACGTCCCACAGATCTCAGCAACACCTAAACAAGGTCAGGGCTTCTGATGGAATTAGATCTTTGCTGACAAAATAATATGGGGACTGGGTCTCACAGTCTAGCAGGGGAGACAGACATTAATCAAGTAACCACAGAAATAAATGTAAAATTGTGATGCTCATCAAGGAGGTTACATGGTATCCTGAGAGTGTATGAAAAGGAGTATTGGACTTGGTTGGCAATCAGGGCAGGCTTCCCTGAGGAAGAGACAGTGGAGCTTCAATCTGAGTGATGAGTAGTAGCTACGAGTGATGAGTAGCAGCTACTTTGGAGAACAGCACACATCAAGCAGACGTCCTACAGCAAGAGGGAGCGTTGTCCTGTCAAAGAACTTAGAGAAGACAGTGTAACTGGCCCGAAGCACATTTCCTTCTGCTCTGGACAGGAATCCCTGTCCAGGGAAGAATCTAGGGACGTGTGTGGTCTGCATGAGCTCACAACATGGCAAAAAGTTTTCCTCAAAGTGAATAAGGTGTTTTTCACTGTTTGACTTTTATGGGGGTGAGGGGAGTGTTTCTGATCCATAGATAGATAAACCCAGCACTTTGTCTACTGCAGATGTACAGCCATTAACTGTGACCTGTCACCAGTTCAAAAAAATTCAAATGGAAGGTTGACAGTGCCCCCTCTGGTTGGATTTAACTATACCATGTAGTTGAATTGGTCATCTTGACTTATTTAAATGCTGGCATTTAAATGAATTATTTAAATGAATATTGATTCCCCTAATCACCAGGGTCGTGGATTACTTTACGGTCTGTCTGCACAGTCATTTGCTTTGCTTTGTTAATTCGTAGTTTTTTCAAGTAAGGGAATCCCTTTAAAATGTAAAAAGAAGAAAAGGAAGAAAGGGAAGAGGGAGGGGGCTTGGGAGAGAAGAAGGAAGAGGAAAGAAAGAAAGAGCGATAAAGGGAAGGAGGGAGGGGGAAAAAAGGAATAGTATCTGTATACACACATGTATCATGAACACAATATATACGGCATATATGGGATTCATAGACCTCTTAAATGCAAAACTACACATCCAGATATCCTTGATCTGTATTACATTATGAGTAATGCAATTGCTGGATTTGTTTTTGTTATATAGGAAGACTCCATCTCTGAAGTAAAGAATATCCTTGAAAGACCAAACTACCCTCTGAAGAAATATCCGGTGCATAAACAGAGATATTTTTAAACTGCTGTCCTGTGTAAGTAAGCAGCTTAAGTGCTTCTTGTTGATTTGCTCAAATAATTTCAGCTTCCTGCTACCATATAAAGTACCTAGAAAATGTGGCGGACAGGAGTCAAGGAGGAGATAAGAGCCACATTCTTCCTTCAGACAGCACATATGCGGGTCTGCCAGCAGTCTTGCCTCTTGTATGCTCCCCCTACCCCCTTACCTAATGGTCCCTCTTTCAGCTCCTCAAACACAGGCTCCTTCCGGCTGTGGGGCCTTTGCATGTGCTCTCTGACTGGAATACTTCTTCCTGACCCTGTATGGGTCACTCTCTTTACCTTTCGGGTCTCACGACTTTCCATGACACCCCCTCCTGCTCTGAGGTACACCTTTTTAGCCCTCTGCAGTTTTCTTTCATACAGTATGACACAGTTTGTTGTTATATTTTTATGTGGGTTGATTGCTTAAAGGTCTGCTCCTTCTACTTGAATGACACCTTCCCGAGGTCAGGGACTCTGCCGTCCTGCTCACTATTTTACAGCCGGAATTACAGTGGGATCCCATTTAACTTAGGTGAACTGAACCACACATGCCAGGTGTGTGCCCTGAACAAGAGCCTTCCTTCCCTCCACCACCCTGTTGCCACCCTTGCATCAGATGACCTTCCACTGCGGTTGGTGCTCAGTAAATATTTTTTTGTGGGAGGCTGTTGAACGAGGTGATGAGGCAACTCTTGAATTCAGGTGTGTGGTAAGAAGTTTGACATTTTCAGGGCTGTCGTCATTTCTCAGGTTTTCTCTTCTTTCCCTTCCTACCCAGGCCCAGCATAAGAATAGCTCTTCCTTTTTAAGTGCTTCCTGAGTGCCAGGAACTGGCCCGAATACTTCACTTGTATTAAATGAACTAATATTTAATTATCACAACAACTCTGTGAAGTAGGTACTATCACCAGTTCCATTTCACAGGGAAACTGAGGCAAGGGGAGGTTAAGTGCCTTGCTCAAGGTAACATGGCTAGTGAATGGCTCAGCTGCCGTCTGAAGCCAGGTGATCTGGCTTTTAACCATTACATTCCATTGTTCTCCAAAACTGGAGTGTGTGATAGGAGAACCCTGGGGAGAAAGAGCAGAGCCCTTTGGAACCTAAGCAGAATCGGTGGACATTGCCCTTGAACATCCCCCAGAGAGTCCTATGGTATTGTATCATGTAGTCCCTCATTCTAGCAACATCAAGATAATTAACGAATCTTTTTAAACAATAAAGGAGTGTGGGATGATGTGCTAGGTTTTCACTGTCCTCAGGCTCCTGAAATTCTGGTTTGAGGGTCATTCATGCTTTAGGGCACACATCGCCTTGCCCAGGGCTGGCCAGGATTTCCCGCCTTCAGCACAGAGGAATGTGGAGGACAGCTCAGTAATTTCCCACTTTGCAGGCTTCTACCTTAGAACGTTCTGCTTGGTAGATTAAGGGATGGCTTCTGGGCCACATAATCTCCGGTTGCCAAAATAGTCATCTAGGCAGTTATTAGGTGTTTATACGGAACACAGCCCACTTAATTACCACTTAGGGAACGTGGCCCATGTAATTACCAAATGCCAAATTGTGTTGAATTTCAACATGGCTAACATCAAGTTACATAAAGCCCTGAACCGGCAGATATGTGGACCCTGACGTGAGGAGATAGAAGGTAAGAAAAAAACATCCGTCTTAGTAAATAGGTTTCCTTTGTAACATGAGTTCCTACTCAGTGGTTTGGAATATGCTCATAGGCCTTCTATGAAAGCTCTCCATACCATTCTCTTCCTGTCCCAATTCGGGTCATGGATTCCTGGTGAGGCAGGGGTCCTGGAGGACTGTCAGTGAAAGTTTTCATGGTTGTAAAGAACCCAGGTGACTTTGACTCATCTTAAGCAAACAGGGCATTTAGTAGAATGAAGCTGTCTCAGTGAATCCAGGGAAGATCCAAACAAGCAAGGTCAAGCAGCTAAAACGGGACCGTCATGCCTATGGGCTGGGTAGACAGCAACAGAGAGGAGCATTCGGCAGAAGACCCAGTGAGTTTCCACTCCATGTCCCCTGCCCTGCTTTTCTCAAGGACTCTCCTGCTTACAGCACCAGTGCTTGTCCTTCCCTTCTGCACTTCTGCTCTTTCACTGTTCATCATCTTTCCCTTTCCTGGTTTTCTGGTGACCTCAAGATCCAGGGGAAATGAAAAAGTAGATTCTTAGCACTTAGGGATTAAGTTAGGGATGCTTGGACCAGAAACAATGAGTCCAATTGTCTGACCAGGGAATGTGTGGAAGAGATGGGTGGAAGGGGTTGGAATACATCTGTTTCTCCTTACTCAGGATGGTTTGGGCCTTGATACTTTTGGTGTAAAACAGATGATCCTTTGTATACTTTAAGATGGTGAATTTTAGGTTATATGAATTATATGAATATATGAGCAGATGGCACCAGTTCTGGCCCACCGACCCTCCCACCCCTGTGAGCAGCTCCCGTGATCCCAGCTGCTGCCGCCATGGCCAGCCTGCAGCGGGAGCTGGTCCACTTGTAATGCTCCCAACTTGAGGAAGGGCAAAGAACCCAGGCCCAGACGTCCTCAGACACAGACAAGAACTGTAGCACAAAACCTTTTCTAAAATTAAAGAATAGCAAAAAGGAAATAAACCAAGAAAAGGAAAGAAAAAGGACAACAGTGAATTAAAATGCCGGTTTCTGATTCTGTCACAGCTCCCTAGGCCTCCAGCTCCAAAGGGAGGGGCTGCTGTGGCTTCCAACCTTACCGTCTCTGCTGGGCAGGCAGGAGCCATTTTACTTCCTCCCACGGGGCCCCTTCACCTCCCTTACAACCAAAGCAAAAAGCAAACCAGCCTACAGATGCCAAGCTCCAATCTCGAGGCCCTCCCTCTCTGATTTGCTCACCAGCTTCGGAGGGATTTGTCATTTGATGGTTTGTGGTGATTGACACATGGATAATGACACACCTCCCTTCATCCCAGGGGCTCCTGGTCCTGTCAGAGTCTAACAGACAGACCACACAGGCAGTGGCCATACACCCAAATCACATGGCAGATTCCTGGGTCAGCAATCCTCAATGAGCATTAGAATCACCTGGGGGTGCTGAAAAATACTGATGCCCAGGTCACACTCTGGACCAACTTAATTGGAATCTCTGTGGGTGGTGCCTGGCATCGGTATTTCTATAAAGGTTCTTCAGGAGATTCTAATGCACATTTAGCACCGAGAATCTCTGCAGTAGGCTGCAAATGTCTTGAGAATGGGGGACTCAGAACACCCCCAAATCCTATACTGACCCCCTCCACTCTGAAAAATAATTGTTCCATGGAATAGAATTGATTTGGTCATGTTTAACAGTTCAGCTCAATAACACCTAGCAGTTTCTGCACATTTACTATGTGCCAAGGACTGTACTAGCTCCTCAGAGTAACACTAAGAGGTAGATACTCTGCTTGTCATCATCCTGATAGTATACAAAGAGGCCAGGTAACTTGCCCAAGGTCACACAAGTGTTTGTCTTGCTAACCTAACATTGCCTCATTCCTACACGTAGAGCTACATGCCAAGATTTGGATAGAGGGAAACCATCTTCTTCTCCTTGGTTGTGTTTATTGATGGCCTTTTTCTCGGTACCACATGTAGTGTATGAAGTGTCTTCACATTTCACAGGGGAGACTGAATGAAAGCTGGAGGAGCATCATGAAGAGCTCAGTCATCAAGCCAACTGAACAACAATTTTTGTCCCGTGTATCAAAGCACCAGTGTCTAACCCCCGTTAACTCAAACCTGTACCCACCCAGTCTTTTGTACCCAGGTAAGAGCCATTGATTAAAGTGTCTGCTCTTTGGGGCTCAAGTTTTCTTGTCAAGCTGGAAAATTTGTGTTTTAGTTTGCTTGTATGCTTGTTTTGAGCTTGAAAACGAAAATAATAGTTGGGTGGCAGGTGCTTTTTCATTTGGAAAGCGCTTCTTAAAATTCTGATGAAGATGTCAAGATGCCTTTTCAGGTGTTCCTCATTTTGGGCAGTGGATGTGTTCTTGAAAAGTTCTTTTCTTTCCCTCCTTCCTCATTTTTTTCTCCTTCCCGCTTGTCCTCACCCCTCCCCCACCTCTACCTGTTTCCCTTCCCTTCCCTTCCTTTTCCTTCCCGTTCCTTCCTGTCCCTTCCTGTTCCTTCCCTTTCCTCTTACATTTTCCATAAGCTCGAGGAAGCTGCTATCTAGAGGAATAAACTGATATATCCTCTAGAAAAAGACTGTCACCTGATTTTCCATTTTTGGTAAATCTGTTTTTTTGTGGTTGTTTGCTTTTTAGTGTTAGGCTTGATTTACATGATATCAACTGAAAACCTAGGAAGAGGGAGCATTACTTCTGGAGAATTCAGGTCTTGCTTTAAAGGTTTAATTTCCATGCTACATTTGTAAGAGGAGGCTAATTTCTTTTGTTTGTTGTTTAAAACACTCCTTCTGTCACCTACCCCTCCTTTTTTCCAACAATTCTTAAATAAATTTATATGAGGAACAAAACCTTCAAATATTTTTCTGAAATAAATAACTACACTAAGTTTGGCAGAAATGACTGTCAAAACCAGATTTAAAATTAGTAGAAGGGTGCCTTTATGAAATGGTTACCCAGTTTGAGGATCAAGAAGAGGATGGGGGTGGATTGAAGTGGACATTTGTCTTCATGGGTCTACAGACCCAGAGAAGAGAGGGCTTGAAAATGGAAACCTTTGTCTTTCCTTCATGCTATATCCTGAGCATTTTCCTCTACCATGCCCTAAAACCCTTTCAGTTTTTACAAGATTCAGTGAGAATCAAGTTTCCTTTTCTCATTATTACCACAGGAATTGGTTCATTAGGTAAATTAAGAAAACAAAATTTAAAATTAAAGGAGAAAAAAAGTCCAAAAGCCAAAATAAAACAAAATTCATTTATCCCTTCTCAGAATTTCAGCCTAATAAAGGTATATATCACAACAAGTATTCCACCTTTGAAAGACAGACAATATGCTTAAATTACACCTGCTTGTATGTTCTCAGTGTGTCTGAAACTATAGTTGTCAGTTTGTTATTTTGAGGTCTAAGTAGTCATCAATAATAAAAAATACTGTATTACATTAAGACTATGGTAGAGTTCTCAGAAAAGGGCCACTTAGGAAGGATATAAGCAGCTGAAGGAAATCAGTTCTAATGAATTGGTATCCGGTGGCAGTTATTGTTCAGATACCCACTGTGACACTCATTGTCCTTTTTTTCTTTTTTTATGGTTTGAGCATAACTCCTTAATTCAACTTAGGGATAAGATCTTAAATGCCCATTCTTATTTAAAGTCTTTTTTTTTTCTTTCGCAAATCAATCTGCCTTTTGCTCACTTTCTAATCTGCTAACTCTATTGTTTAAGTTATTCCTATTTTATCTTTTTATTTCTCAAGGAGTTATTTCAGTTTTGAGGACTTACATTGGGGCCAGGATTGCAGCAGGATTTTTCTTTTGGAATATATAAAAATGTGAATAATTTTGTGACTTATTGGGGATTACTTTGGGAAGATCTGTGTCATTAAACATAATAAATATCCCCACCTGTCTTGCTTCAGTTTATTACTGTTTTCTTGACTTTCACAGCGGCAGATCTATCAAAGCCTGGACCGTATTTTACAAATGTATTTTACAGGGTCTGGGTTTACAGAGGCTCCTGGGAAAATCTCCTTGGTGGAGCCTGGGCCCTCCAAGCAAAAGCCACCATACAGTAAGACCATTTCCCTATTGTCACCGGACTGACCCAAAGTTAGCTGAAGCCTATAGACCCTGAATTATAAATAAGATTTTAAAAATGAGAGTGTACATGATATGTTTAACATAAGAGAAGTTGGTCGGTTTTAAATGCATAATTGGGGAGGACTGATGGATTATGTATGCAAGTTCACCTAGCCCCTGAATGCCTGGCCGCTCTTACTAATAGTCATGGCTGTTCTTGATTAGTTCCATTAAAGGAGTCCTCTGACCTCTCTGAGGGCAGCCCGAGGAAAGGACGTGCTCTCTAGTCCATGTGTGACCAGTGAACCTGCTAGTACTGCTTGATGGGACTGCTGTCCTTCCCTGAATGGGGGCCCCATCCCAGCACTCCTGGGGGATGTGCAGGTCTTGGAGAGAACTCCGTCCCCTCTTCCCATGGAGTGGGAACCCTGCTGACAGTGAGCGGAGCTGCAATCTTACTGCTCCTTGGTCTGCTCCCCCGGCCCCTCCACATGGGGCCTAGGAGAAGCAGTAGTTACTTCGATCATCAGAGGAAAGAGCCTGTGCTTGGTTTCACCTTCAGAACTAGGGAATTTGGCAAAAGCAGGGTCATACCTAGGACAGGCGCTTTACCCTGGTGCAAATGGATGGCTGGCTTGTCGGAGCTTCTTCAGCAGTCCGAAATTTCCCCCTTGGGCTTCTGTATTTTTAGAGTGATCCTGCAGCACCCCCGTAAGTATATTTTTATATTCATAAATGTATATTTATGTACTTTTCTTTCTCTTATCTTTATTTTAAAAGTACCCTGTAGCCCATAGTATAATATCAACCCTCCTCATCATTCACCATGAGAATCACCTGCCAGGGCTCATTTATTTGGTCTCTGTGGTGACCACAGCTTTGCCTCTCCAAGACGCTGTGGGCAGAAGGAATACAGTATATTCTGTGGCAGGGTTTGTTTTGTGTGTCATCTCAATTCCAGGAGCTCTGAGATGACAGCACTGAGGGCCACCATGCCTGCCCAGAGATGGTGTGGGGAACTGGGGGCTGCTAGGCGGCTCAGGTACCAGGATTAGGATTTTCAAATGAAGAGGAAGAAGGGAGACCTCTGGCAGGGCGGAGTTCGCTCTAAGGTAGGAGAGCTGAAACATATGTGATGGGTCTTTGGTTTTTGACTGGCTGGAGCTGCTTTTGGCTCAGCCAAGGTATGTCACTGCACGTCTTGCTCAGCCTGGGTGGGGTGTGGAGTGGTTTATTCTAGGTCCTTCCACAGAGGAGGCCAGGACAAGGGCAACGTCCAGGGACTTGGGAGAGCTACAGTCTGTTTTGTTTTGTTTTTTTTGCGGTATGTGGGCCTCTCACCGTCGTGGCCTCTCCCGCTGTGGAGCCCAGGCTCCAGACACAAAGGCTCAGCGGCCATGGCTCACGGGCCCAGCCGCTCCGCGGCATGTGGGATCTTCCCCGACCGGGGCACGAACCCGCATCCCCTGCATCAGCAGGCGGACTCTCAACCACTGTGCCACCAGGGAAGCCCCGAGCTACAGTCTTTTAAAGACCTTACCAACTAACTCTGGGAGACCTGGAATCCCAGGAGAGAAATGGAGTAAAGGTCTTTTTCCTTCTTCCTGCCGCCTCTTTTTCTCTCTTTTATTCCTGTATTTACTGCCTCAGTTTGCCAGGTGCTGTATCAGGTGCTTCCCAAGGGCATTAGTAGGCGGTGTTAAGGTTGAGGGCCCTGGAGTGAGAGCACCTGGCTTTGAATCCTGGTTTTGCCATTTACTGGCTGAGTGACTTGAGCAAATAACATAACCTTTTTTTGTGCCTCAGTGTCCGTCTATGTGAGATGGAGTCAATGGTACCATCTATTTCATAATGTTGTTGTCATAAGCAAATGAGTTAATGCATTTAAAGCCCTTCAAATCAGTGCCTGGCACGAAACAGGCACTCAGTAAGTGTTAGCTGTTATTATGCTCATCTCATTTAATTATTGAGGAAAGCATTCCCCTCCCCCCATCCCCCCCTTTTTTTTTTTGCTGAGGACACTTAGGCTCAGAAAAGCTGAGTGTCCGAGCCAATTTCCAAACCCTGGTCTGTCCTGTCTCCAAACCTCATGACCTTTCTGCTACTTTCTGCCACCCCTTGGTTGTCACTTGATTGTCCCTGAGGCTGGTGCATGCTGGATAATTCAACCTCAAGGGTTTGAAAAAAATGAATTCAGAGTCCTTCAGTAAAGTGACAGGGCAACTAAGGTCTCTTGACAGGAGTTGGGACGAGGTTAACCACTTCTTGCTTAGGCCAACAAGAGATGCTTTCTGCTCTCATTTCCTGTCATTGGAGTATTATGTTTGTAAACAGCATTTTTAGGAAACCACCCCCCCTTCCCCCACCCCAAAATCAACATCCCTGTTCCTTTTCCTCCAGGAACTGGCACTTATTTAGACTGATATCTTGAACTGAGGTAAATATCACACCTATTTTAGTGGGACGACTTCTAGGAAAGACTGTAATAGGTGTCATTGCTGGAAGTGCTGGATTCATGGTGAGAACTCCTTGTTGTGAAAGCTCGTTTGTCCTTGCATGAGGGGAGTTCAACATGGCGAATGATGACATCCTTTGTTCATTGAGTCATATGGTCCCAGCCCTGACGATTAACTGAACTGGTTCTGTAGCCTTGCTTGCAATCACTGTTTTTTTTTTTAACATCTTTATTGGAGTATAACTGCTTTACAATAGTGTGTTAGTTTCTGCTTTATAACAAAGTGAGTCAGTTATACATATGTCTCCATATCTCTTCCCTCTTGCAGCTTCCTCCCTCCCACCCTCCCTATCCCACCCCTCTAGATGGTCACAAAGCACCGAGCTGATCTCCCGGTGCTATGTGGCTGCTTCCCACTAGCTAGCTATTTTACATTTGGTAGTGTATATATGTCCATGCCACTCTCTCACTTTGTCCCAGCTTACCCTTCCCCCTCCCCGTATCCTCCTCAAGTCCATTCTCCAGTAGGTCTGCATCTTTATTCCCGTCTTGCCCCTAGGTTCTTCATGACTTTTTTTTTTTTTTTAGATTCCGTATATATGTGTTAGCATATGGTATTTGTTTTTCTCTTTCTGACTTACATCACTCTGTATGACAGATTCCAGGTCCATCCACCTCACTACAAATAACTCAATTTCGTTTCTTTTTATGGCTGGGTAATATTCCATTGTATATATGTGCCACATCTTCTTTATCATTCATCTGTCGATGGACACTTAGGTTGCTTCCATGTCCTGGCTGTTGTAAATAGAGCTGCACTGAACATTTTGGTACATGACTCTTGTTGAATTATGGTTTTCTCAGGGTATGTGCCCAGTAGTGGGATTGCTGGGTCATATGGTAGTTCTATTTTTAGTTTTTTAAGGAACCTCCATGTTCTCCATAGTGGCTGTATCAATTTACATTCCCACCAACAGTGCAAGAGGGTTCCCTTTTCTCCACACCCTCTCCAGCCTTTGTTGTTTGTATATTTTTTGATGATGGTCATTCTGACTGGTGTGAGAAAAAAAAAAACAGAGCTGGAGGAATCAGGCTCCTGGACTTCAGACTATACTACAAAGCTACAATAATCAAGACAGTATGGTACTGGCACAAAAACAGAAATATAGATCATGGAACAGGACAGAAAGCCCAGAGATAAACCCACACACATATGGTCACCTTATCTTTGATAAAGAAGGCAGAAATATACAGTGGAGAAAAGACAGCCTCTTTAATAAGTGATACTGGGAAAACTGGACAGCTACATGTAAAAGAATGAAATTAGAACACTCCCTAACACCATACACAAAAATAAACTCAAAATGGATTAAAGACCTAAATGTAAGGCCAGACACCATCAAACTCTTAGAGGAAAACATAGGCAGAACACTCTATGACATAAATCACAACAAGATCCTTTTTGACCCACCTCCTAGAGAAATGGAAATAAAAACAAAAATAAACAAATGGGACCTAATGAAACGTAAAAGCTTTTGCACAGCAAAGGAAAACATAAACAAGACGAAAAGACAACCCTCAGAATGGGAGAAAATATTTGTAAACGAAGCAACTGACAAAGGATTAATCTCCAAAATTTACAAGCAGCTCATGCAGCTCAATATGAAAAAAACAAACGACCCAATCCAAAAATGGGCAGAAGACCTAAAAAGACATTTCTCCAAAGAAGATATACAGATTGCCAACAAACACATGAGAGAATGCTCAACATCATTAATCATTAGAGAAATGCAAATCAAAACTACAATGAGATATCAGTTTGTTTTTAGTAATACTACGTGCTCAGTATTGTAATGTGCCCTGGGGGGTATGGGACGAGATATGCTAAGGAGTGTAAGATACAACCTGTGCCTCCTGCAGTCTCTGGAATTACTAGGGCAATGAGATGTTTCACGTGTGACTATCAACTGACCAGGTCTCTCCCTTCCCACACCCATCGGAGTGCATGAGATAAAAGAACAGATTAGGGAAGGAAAAGGCAGAGAAGAAAGAATGATGGAAATGTTTATTGAGACTGAAATGGAACATTGTTCTCTTTTATGAGTTAACAGCACAGTGTGTTAAGAGGCTGGTTACAAACTCACTCCAAAATAAGGATGACCTGCAGTTCACGAATGGCTCTGTCAACTCCAGTGCCTCAAATCAGAGCAGGCTGCCAAGGGGGTAGAACCATTCAGCCCAAGATAAATTACTGATTCAACTGTATTTATATTTACTTCCTAAACAACAACACAATATTTGCATGTTAAAATTCACATTGAATCATGGGTCCATAATTTATGTGTACATGACCATTTGGTATCATCCTCTTGTAGATTTCAGGT